GGGGGGGGGGGGGGGGGGTAAGCATTTAAATTTCAAGAACCAGTTTAAAACAAACTTTAAGAATAAGAGTGAACAATGTGTCATTTTTGTTGGTGTAAATAACCCCCCACAGAAAACACACTCCCACATAGAGAATTCCCTTGGAAGTGGAATTTTTAGTTAAAATAAATAACATGGAAATGACTTCCACAGAAGACTGAGTGATTAGAGCACAATGGATGCTATTTCTAAAAGGCCAGTTGCTAATTTTCAGGGTGTTTTTTTTAAAAAAAATATAAAGTAAAATGAGTTTGTTTCTAATGAGAATATGTAATACTAAGCCTGAAAATTAGTAAGTAAGCTGGCATTTGAAAAGTACATGAATAGAAATGAATGCAACTGTATCTCAAAGCATTCATTTTCAGAATTTGGCCTGAAGTGTAGCAACAAATTTCACTTTAATCAAAATGCTTTTAACCCTAAAAATACTGCAACATCACTGGTTTGTTCCTAAAACTGTGGCGCTGACTTTAAAAAGCAGCTGATTCATCAAAAAGAAACCTTCTGGCAGGTAAGATATAAAACAAAGATGCCAAAAAGATGATAAAGCAAAAACCAAGGCAAAGCATAATGTACCTAAATGTTGCTTCCCAATTGAAAACAATTTGTCTTCTCTTCAAACATGAACTTTACCGTCACTGAAATAAAGACCATTTGCTTTATTCCAAACATTTCTTTTTCTCTTACAAGACTGAAAATGAAGAATTTCCCTGTTTGAGAGGGCATTTCTGAGAACATGAGTTCTGAGAGTGGGAACCTGAAACACTGAGTGGAAAGAAAAGTAAGAGAAGCTTGATGCTTCCTGCTCTTTGAGCTTCCAGCCCAGTCCTGCCAAGAACCCAGAGACCTCCTATCTAGTCCTTGCTTTCATTCTCTCCTCTCTACCTCATTCAGCCTTCGTACAATATATATTCAGAATGCCTTTCCCTTGCTTAAGACTTAAAAACTAAAAGTTTAAAAAATAACATGCATGCACTTAAAAGGCAAGTTAGAAAAAAATATAAGCAGCATATATAACAAGGGTAAAAAAATCCCTAAAATACAAATTTTCAAGACTCATTAGGTCCACAGTGATGGCGAACCTATGACACGCGTGTCAGAGGTGACACGCGAACTCATATTTTTGGTTGATTTTTCTTTGTTAAATGGCATTTAAATATATTAAATAAATATAAAAAATATAAATCTTTGTTTTACTGTGGTTGCAAATATCAAAAAATTTCTATATGTGACACGGCACCAGAGTTAAGTTAGGGTTTTTCAAAATGCTGACACGCCAAGCTCAAAAGGTTAGACATCACTGCAATAGGAAAAAGATGAAAGTCACAGAGGGGAGGGGCTTAGAGAGCAACCAAAGGACTTGTAAGCATGCATATTAGCATAACCAATGGACACAGACACTGGGGCAGTGGGGGCTTGCCCTAGCCATGGTAGGCAAATGGCGTCTCGGGAGCCACATGCGGCTCTTTGGCCCCTTGAGAGTGGCTCTTCTTGAGTGTGGCTCTTCCACAAAACACCACGTGCGGGTGCGCATGTACAGTGCGATTGAAACTTCGTGGCCCATGCGCAGAAGTCGGTATTTTGTGGAAGAGCCACACTCAAGGGGCCAAAGAGCTGCATGTGGCTCGTGCGCGGTTTGCTGAGCTGCAGTTTGCCGACCACTGCCCTAGGGGATGGGAGGGTGGAGGTTATCAATGGGTGAAAAAGGAGACATATGTAAATCTTTAGAAAAAAAAAGAAAAAAAGATGAAAGTCCCAATTTAAAAAATTAGAAAAAAGTAATAAACAGGCAATTCAAAAATGAAAAAATACTAGTATTCAATAAACATAGTAAAGTTAACTAACACTAGAAAATGAGACAATGAGATACTATCCTCACATGTCAAACTGGTTCAAAAATAGTACCCAATAGCCTTTCTGGAGGACAATTTGTAATACAAATAAAAAGCATTAATAATATGCATTTATCCTTTGCCTCAGTAATTCCTAAGAAAATAACTGAAGAAAATTTTTTTAAATGTTTAAACAGTGTATTAAAACAGCAAAAATTAAAAACAATTAAAATGTCTACTAATGAAGGTCTGGTTAAGTAACTTATGGTATGCATAATAAAATACAGTGCAAGCATTAAAATTCTATTGAAATATATGTTACATAAAGTTTTAGTATATGAACTGAGGAAAAAGCAGACTTTGATCACTTAAATTTGTGTTCATTTATAGCAGGGGTGGGGAACATGTTTTTCTGCCAAGGGCCATTTGGATATGTATGACATCCTTCGCTTAATATAAATTTATGTTGCTATGAAAAAAGCTCCCAGACTGATTGAATTTCGAGTCCTGCTTGCAGGTGCCTTGGCAGGGTCAGAACAATGACTTTGTGGGCTTTGAATGGCTCGCGGGCTGGACATTCCCACCCCTAATTTATAGTTGTATCGTTCAAGTTCTAAAGAACTCAACATACGCTGCTTGGCTGACTCATCTTTGGGGGCGGGTGTATTTTGTGTATGGTTGTTGTATTATTGTGCACATTGTGGAGAAAGGGAATATTTGTGACCAAAATGACCCTAAATTGCATTATTTTTCACAAATACCTCCTATGCACCCTACTCCTAAGCTTCCCAAAGGACGCCTTCCTACTCCATTACCATTAGCCATGGCCATGTGACTTGCTCTGCCAACAGAATCTGCGTGGATATGATCTATGTCACATTACAGTGGGAGCTTTAAGTGCACTGTGTGGCTGGGCGCAGGCTCTCCTGCCCTTTCTGTCACAAGAATGGGCTTGAACACAGAGGGACGGCTCCTTCAGGCTGGATCTCCAAATGAGAAGACACTTGGAGCAGAGCTGAGCTTGGCCATGGCCACCCCACAACCACCCATATGTAATTGGAAAGGGAAATTAATCCTCGATTTAAATCATTGAGATCTTGGGGTTGTTTGTTCCATAGAAAAGCTATTTAATAAATACACAATGTCATGCTAGTCTGCAAAATGCTAGTGTGGAAAAAATGTTTTCTCTTGTTTTGCTTATTTGTATTTCCTAATTTTTGTATCATAATTATCTATTACATAACCACACAATAGTTCAAAGAAACAGGACAGGTCAATGAACTAGAAGGATTCATTTTAACCTCACTGAACACGTTACAATATCTAAAGAAACACTCATTGCCAGCCATTTGTCAGTTAAAGAAGAGCAGCGAAAAAGCCATACACTAGAGCCCAGGCAGTGCCCCTCCATGCCCAGGCTGGGGGAGAAGAGCTCTTAGCTAACAGGCTTGGATATATTTTTGATCCAATTGACAATCTCCTGGCATGGAGATGGATACAGAAGCTGCAGCTAAGGAGCTTGGAGGTTTGCTGTCCACTGGCAAAGTCACCCCCACTGGGAACGGCTACATCAAACTGCCTTAGCTCAGTGACATTAAATATTCAGTTCTTCTAACTCCCTTGTCCTGTGGCCACACCAACTAAACAATCTTCTGAGTACTATATGCTTTCTTAATAGTTTCACCTATCAGGAAAGACTTTACTGATAAAATGGGTTCCGGTAAAAAGGATTTAAGTTCATTGTTATTTAGAGAGACAGAGAGAGTAGCAAGGAAACATTAAAAACACACACATACACACACCTCAAAGTTCACTCTCTTAAACCTCCTCATTCTCACTCACAACAGCACTGCCAGTTATGCTGCTGTGCTCATGGGTCAAGTGCAGAGGACTATATGCTCCCTGATGCCTTTTCCTATATTCCCACTGCATCCGGTGAGCAGCAGATCCTCAGAAAATGTTTGTGGAACTCATTAATCTGGCAGTTTCGGGGCAGGGAAATTCAGAATTTATGGGCAGCAGCCCCACAGCAAACATATTTACAGAGCCCTGAGTGCTTTTTTAATGAATTATCTCAGACAAACAAAAGGTATAAGACATGAGATAGACACTCCCACCACCCCCATGTTCCAGATGAGACAGCAAGGCTCAGACGTGTCGTAACATTCCCAAGGGCAGACGAGGTACAGCCGGGATTCCGAGCCCACAGTCTTATGTGGACTGCCTCCTGCTAATTTTAACTCACTGTAATACCATAACTCAGCGGTTCTCAACCGGTGGGTTGCGACCCCTTTGGCGGTCGAACAACCCTTTCACAGGGGTCGCCTAAGACCATCCTGCATATCAGATATTTACATTACGATTCATAACAGTAGCAACATTACAGTTATGAAGTAGCAATGAAAATAATTTTATGGTTGGGTCACCACAGGAGGAACTGTATTTAAAGGGCCAGAAGGTTGAGAACCACTGCGGTGTAACTCATTGGAGATTACAACATTGCTCCCCTTAAGAGTCCCCTGTGAGACTGAAAAGTTTGGGATGGGAAGTAAAAGTCTCAAGGAGGCTTGAATAAAGACAGGTAGACACCAACCTGTCTTGGATGGAGGGCGGTGACTGCCTGCAGCGTTTGTTTGGTTGAGTAGGACGGGAAAGTTTTGGGCTAGAGCTGAATTTCTAAGGACAACAGAGGACAGCCGGGGCTTTGCCTCTGACAGTCTCCTCAGTTCATGGCCCCAGGAACCACTGACCTTCCTGTGGCAATGGCCATTCTGTAATGAATATTTATTACCATCTTGGCAAAGGTGCCCAGCCTCACCCTGGAGGTAGGAGAAGTGGGAGAGAACCAAGAAGTCACATCTTACTTACAGTTTAATGGACTCAGATTAATCCTCAGACTTACTCTTTCTTCCTCCTTTATACTTAGGGCGATAAAAATAATTATAAAATTAGAGTAAGGCTCCTTTTCTCTACTTATGGAACAGGGATGATGATAATAGCAATTCCTCCAGGTTGCACTGAGCAGCCTGCATACGAGATTGCGGTGGAACATTTAGTTCAAGCCGACGCAGGGGCACCCTCTGCTCTCACCTCCCTTCCCGCCTGTGAGAACACTGAGCAGCTGCAGGTGTCAGCTCCAGGCCCAGGGTTTGGGAAGAAGCGATGCGAAGTCTCTCCATGGACAACGTCCTAACTTACAATCCTAGCAGTACTTCTGGGTAGAGTTATAGATCAGACAGTTTTCTCTCCGTGTTTTTCAAGGAGACGTTACTCCAATCTTTAGTAAGAGATAACATTTTCATTATGACCTAGTACATATCAGACACATGTATTTATATCTGAAACAAAAGTTTCAAAAAGTAGTATTTCCCGTTCCTATGTATACTACATTCTTTTCCATTCCATTTTAATTAAAGAAATGCTTGCCCAGCTGGTGTGGATCAGTGGTTGAGCGTTGACCTATGAACTAGGAGTGCATGGTTCCATTCTCTGTCAGGGCACATACCCGGTTTGTGGGCTCAGTCCCTAGTAGGGGGTGTACAGAAAGCAGCCAAAAATGATTCTCTCTCATCATTGATGTTTCTCTCTGTTTCCCTCTTCCTTCCTCTCTGAAATAAAAATACATTTAAAAAATAAAAGAAATGCTAGCCGCATTGGTGTAGATTAAACAGATCTAAAAAACCAAATTTTAGGACACATTTTTTAAATTAATATATTCATGTATGTATTTGTTTGTTGGCCAACCACAAATTCTAATACTTTAAGGAAAGACAATATTTTGCTATGCTTTTAATTACTCTAATTTGGATTGTTCAAGAAAGGTAAGTGTTCTATACACTCTAAATTATCCAGCTTGTAAATTAATAATTTTTAAATGCAATTTATTTCTAGAGACTAGAAACCTTTACACTTAGTCTCATATGCAAAATATAACAGAATTTTTAAAAAAGGAAAATCACTTGGAAGTATTCTCCAAACACAGGTATGAATGCACTGCCTCCATTAGAATCTGTGGCAGGCCTGGCCAATATAGGGCCCTGCTGCTCTACAACCCAGGACAAATGCCATTTATGATTAATACTGTTCTTCTACCGAACCCCACTGCAGCCTTTAGTTTCTACCTCAGTTCTCTAGGCAGCCACCCAAAAGCTGGAGTTGGCTCATAAGTTCATTCAACAAATATTGACTGAGACCTAGTATATGCCAGGCATTGTTCTGGGTATGAATAGGCACAGTGGAAAAATACAAAGCACTGACCCTCAAAACACTGATTTTAGTGAGGGAGACAGCTAGTGTATGAAAAGGAAGTACATTAATCACTCTAGGCTGTGTGAGTGCGATGAAGAACATAAGCAGGGTAACGGACAGAATGTACTGGCAGGGCAAGTAAGTGCTACTTGAGAAGGTAGGCATGACACAAATATTGGTTAAGGTTAGGACTGGAGAAAACAGCTTTTACTTGCTAGTTTAAGACTGTGATTTACCAGATATTTAGTTTTATGATTGCTGGGAAGGCATGAGTAAATGTCTAGACTGAGTGTCCAGGAAAACTCCCAAAGCTGTACTGCGGAAGGGACTGCTCCAGGAGCCATGGCCCTGGCCACGGACGCCCTGGAGCCCCTCATCCTGCCTCTGGGTATGTACATAAGCTACAGACATTGGGACATCTACTATGGAAGCCACAGAAAAATGAAACCCCAGTGGAAACAGCAGCATTACCACAAGCAGACTGGCCTCCTCCTGGCCCACGTTCACCTCTCACACTGCACACGGTGTGTCTGATGGCCAAACCTGAGTCACAACTGGAAGCCTGCAGCAAGGGTAAGGGAAATGTAGTCTTACCTCCAGGCACTGCACTGCAGTGGAAGAGACGCCTCTGTGAGAATGGAGTATTTGGGCAGACCCCCGGACAACAAGGCAGAGCCAACCAAAGAAAGAATGTGCCTGACGTGTGAAACAATAAAAGGGCTGAGAGTGAGAATGAGGTTGGTGTCTCAGCAAGAAGACCAGTGTGGCTAAGGCTTGGGCAATAAGAGAAAAACTGGCAAGAGATGAGGTGGAGGTGGGGTGTCAGAAGCAGATCATGTGACCCTTTTAAGCAGGGGAGTAACATGATCTGATTAACCTTTATAATAGACCATTCTATTTCTATAAACTATTCTCCATGCCTGATATAAACAATAGCTTAAAAACACACCCGGTTTTTAAATGGCTAATTTGATCTTGTGTAGAATGAGAATTTTATAAATCAGAAGAAATTTCTGCAAGGCAATATCTTTCCATTTCTGTCTGTCACAGCAACTGTGTGTGTTAGCATGATTACCTTCACCTTCTCCAGGACCAAGAGGTGGCCCCATGGTAGCTGACGCAACCTGGGGCACACATCTCCTGCCAAAATCCAAAGAGATGTAGTTGATTAAGGATGCATCTTCTAAAAAAATTTCAAACTTCTGAACTTAGAAAACCCTATATCCTTTAAATGTTAAAAAAATATTGTTAGAAAAGAAAATGAAAATTAGCCCACAGCCCTGAAATCAGCCTTTTAAAAAGGAGTTCCAGTATCAAAGAAAATGATTTTTCTTCTCCAAAATACAATTCAAAACCAAGACAACAGGATGAAATAAGTCACTGAAGGAAATTATGTTTCTCCTGATTTTTTTTCCAAAGAGTACACATTTAAAAGAAGACCCTTGTGTTCATTGCAGCATTATTTACAATAGCCAAGTGCCCATCAGTAGATGAGTGGATAAGAAAGCTGTGGTACATTTACACAGTGGAATACTATGCAGCTGTACAAAAGAAGGAAATCTTACCCTTTGATACAGCATGGGAGGGACCTGGAGAGCATTATGCTAAGTGAAATAAGCCAGTCAGAGAAAGATATATGCCATATGGTTTCCCTCATATGTGGAATTTAATGAACAAACTGAACTAACAAGCAAGATAGAAACAGACTCATAGATAGAGAGCAGGCTGACAGCTGTTGGGAGAAATGGTTGGGGGGCTGGGTGGGAGGTGTGAAGGGCTTGAACAAAAAAAGAAAAAAAAAGAAAAAACTCATAGACACAGACAACAGTTTGGTGATTGTCGGGGGGGGCGGGTTGAGGGGAGGAGAGTATTGGGGGGAAAAATGGTGATGGAAAGAGACTTGACTTGGTGTGGTGAACACACAATACAGTGTAGAGATGATGTGTTGTGGAATTGTGCACCTGAATCTGCATAATTTTGTTAACTAGTGTCACCCCAATAAATTCAATAAAAGAGGGGAAATGTTCCAGAAACAGAGTGAAGGGAACTTGCCATAAGCATGTCTTAGTTTGGCAATTGCAGTGCTTCTGCCAGGAGCACCTATTACTGACTTGAGGTCTTGCATCATAACTGTGGTCTGAATGTTCTAACTTGCTTATCATTTTACAACATTAATGTTTAAGCTTTTGAGTCTAACCAAATTTTACTCCAATTTTAAAAGAAAACAAAACAAAACTGCAGTAAGGAAATCAGTTTTAAATACATTTGATATATTATCTAGTTTATGTATTTGCATATTAGTTAGCTATATAATTTCTCTTACCTTTTCCTCCAAAGTGGCCCTAATACTGCCTTTGATTAATTC